ACACCTATAACACACCACCTCAATTTCAGGATCAGGACTTCATCATTTAAAAAATATAGCTTATTTCTTCAGTTGAGTTTGGTCCAAATTGGATCAAGTGGGATGTGTGCTCCTTTAAGAAATGTCTTTTTGGTATCTTATTCTAAGTACCTGGAAATACCTCTGAATATTTCAAATTATTAAAAAATACTTCTCAGTGGGCTCTGCCCTCACCTGCCTCCCATACTTATTTGGCATCACTTCGCCCATGAGATACCACCATTGTTTCAGAACTAGAAAGCTGAGACTCAGGGGTAGCAGCCTCAGCCATGAAAACGGTGAGTACCACAGTAATCATGTAGCGCTGTCCAGCTCAGTCTGTAAGTGTGCAGATTTAAAAGGTCACTGGGCTGGCTCTTGAATATCAGAAATACACAAAAATGCAGGGATTTTGCCTACTAGAAATGAACAGAAATAGGGAAATAACTTTTATTTGCAGTTTCTAGGAAGGTGGATTACAAATAGCAAATACCAGTGTCTCTAAGTAACGCTCCAGGCCATTTGTAATATACAAAATTGTTTTACTTTAGAAAATATCTCTAAAAGTTCACAAGTTTTTTTTAACCGACTGCAGGACATTAATGAAATACAAGTCCTGTTGAAATTGGATAGGTGAAAAAAAAGCCTTACCAATATTATGAAAATACTTTTTATGAAATAGTTCCGGGGATTATGAATTTGGCAGATGAAACATAAGCATCGAAAATACCTTTAGCCAAGGAAATCTACTGATGCAAATAGATATACAAGCCCAAAGACTGGGTAGAAAAATCCTAATGGTGTCACAAATGTGCATTCTACTACTTGGATTCCTGAAAGCAGAATAGCTGTAGTATGTGTATTTTATTGAACAGCAGAAGCTTATCAAAGGATACTGATAGAAAAGCAGCTTTTGAAACTCCCTATGTGTTATAAGAATATGTTTTTCAAAAATTACTTTTGGAAGACTAAAGCTCTGTAGTTGCTAAAACTATAACATATCTTAAGTATTTATATGGTGATAGAAATTGCAAAATGCTTTATAATAGTAAATACACACGTGAAATTAACACCTTCGCGGTCAGGATTCCCATAAAATTTACCTTTTGTGTACAATTTGGCAATGCCAACAGCTACAGAAAATATATTATCAACCAACCAACCACTGTTTCATTAGAAACTGCACCAAATCCAATGTCAAAAACATTATTTTATTTTTCTAGATGAAATGTCCTATTACGTACAAAAAGAATAGCTGTTTAGAATTTGCCACAATCTGTTAAAAACATAGCAATCTATTGCCTACAGGTAGGAAAGTTCTTGCCGCAACAAGCTTTAAATGACTAAGCCCATATATATCTATATATGTGAATAAATAGTACAGAAATATTGTGATGTGATGAGATGCAGAATAATTTTATAATTCATTAAAAGGTAGGATTCTTGCATCAGCACAGTGCATACAATATGTAACATTTTTTCAAAAAGTAAAAGGACAAAATAACCTATATTTGACTACTTCCATGTTAATATTTTAAGCAAAAACTGTTTCCATGTGTCTGTATTGAGCAACTAGTCTCTTTAGTTTGTAAGCATAGATTTAAGTGACACTTTTATGTACAAAAAGGAATGGGCTTCATTAGATAAAATTAACCCAGAATAACCTGTACACCTGAGCCTGTAATAAGAAAGAACTGGGAACTGTGGCAACATCTTTCTTTTAAGAAACTATGGTCTGGGAAAGGTTTTGCATAGCAGGGTGATATTAAACAGAAGGAAACTTTTTAAAAACAATAATTAGATAAATTCCAGAACTTGGTAGGACAAAGCTAATATGAATTAGTGTAAAATTTTTGCAAAGCTGCATAAACCAACCATGGCAGATCTTCTAGAAGCTATCACTACAATGCCGTGATTCAGTGGAAGGTTAGAACGCTGAGGGAAAACATGCAAGATACACCTTCCTCTTTTTCCATCTTTCTTCCTACTGCTTACACTACTTTTCCTTAGTGGGAAAATACCCCAAATGACTCAACCAACAAAAAGTTTTAAAAAGATGATGTCATCTAAAAAAAATGCCCTTCGTAAGATATAAGTAGCTGTCTGTAACTTTAACATACGGATGAAGGCAACGTGCATTTTGTCACATTACCTTTTTTATTAGTACAATCAACTGATGCAACAGGACTAGCACCCCTGAAGATTTTTTCTTTGACGTGATGACAGTGGGCTGGGAATTATAATATGAAGGGCCACTACCAGCCTGGACAAACCCAGGTACGATTAGATTCTTCTGCCTTTTATTTACGTTGCAGCCCTCCCTTTCCCCTAAAGGCTCACAGATAATCATTAGCGCACATTCAAAGACACCATCTGTGGGAGAAAAATGATCTCCATTTATTTTGTTTCATATACATCCATAGTTGAATTTTAATACAAAAAGAAAAAAATTAGAATCTGACAAATGTTTACAAACAAGATACCTTCAAATAGATTTTACTCATTTTAGCCTGGTGCAGAGTAAATGACAAATTGTACTTTTATATTCAAGGCAACAGTCTGTAGTCCAGGACCACTTAGCCCAACCTTTATGCAAGCTTAATTTTTATCTACCATGAACAATAAACTCATTGTTGATTCCCAGTTGTGTCTGTGTGTGTGTGTGTGTGTGTGTGTGTGCACATGTGTACATAGCAGCTCCTTTCATAGAAAGAAAAGACATCTAGAGGTCGTCTTGTACTTTTACCTACAGGAATCATGATAAGATACAGAATGGATTACATGTAACCGGGGCTGGATTTTATAAGAAAAAATAATTAGCTGACAAATGAGGGCAGCAATAAAAAAGCGTCTTTTTTTTTGCAACAATAAATAAATACAGTCAAAAGTTTTCTGTGAGACTCTAAACCAGCTTCTTCACTGAAGAGCAGACGTGGCATTTCCATGGAGTTACACTTGACCCCATATTATCTTTTTTTCTTGCTTTCTTTTTTCTTTTTTTTTTCAATAAACAAAGTTTTCCCGCTTCTGCCACAATAGTAAAACCATTTGATCTTGACAAGATAATGGTGTCGTTGACTTTGCTTTTCCCTTGTCCGTTGGACAAAATTGGTCAAGAATATAATTGGACTGTTATGACCAATAAAAACGAAGTTTAGGTCAAGTCTTGTCAGGATAACCTGACTAAAAACATCTGGCTCCTTAATTTAAAATAGTTCAGACAACCAGATTCTTGCTGTGTTTTATGTTTAGGTTAACACGCTGAACTTTAAGAAGCTGTAGACTGCAGTTTGTTGTTATGAGACCTACAGAATACAGAAAAAAGGGAACAATTA